GGCTACTCGTTATTTCTGCTATACTCACTATGAAGTCAGTTGTTGCCTTTCACTCGCATCAAACAAACAAAACAAACAATCGCACCTCAATATCGCAGTCAATCCCACTGTCAGAGAGTGAGTACTTGATTGGTTCGTCAGATGTACTCGACATCTGTACGTCCTCCCAACGACGACTGATGCTCCAGTGTTCGTTACTCATCACTGTTTCAGTCCTCAATTCAGCACTGATTAACCGAAATAAATAATTAAAAAACTCAAAAGCATATTCATCGTTGCTCTCCTTGAATTACGACCATGTGCACGTGTATTTCAGCGAGGGATTTGCAAAAGAAATACGGCAACGCCAAAGATAAAATGCAAGGATCCGATCTGCGAGCTGACCGGTCAAAACTAGATGCAGTAAGCGATGGACGGTGATATCTGCGATGCTATTCTATGATGCTTCTTTTATTCTCAATAAATATTAATAGCTGAATGACTGAACGAATAAATACGGTAATCAATGTGCTTACCGAATTTCTTCGTTATGAATTGATTGTTTCATAAGGATGCTAGCAATTCCCGTTAAACTTAGCCTGGGTACTTGCGAAGGAGATGAATAGATAAGTGAATGCAATCAATAAATATGCACTTAGATCAGCATTTGATAACATTTTTCGATGCATTACAATTACAAAGAAACACTTCATTCGATCGAAAATAACTTTATTCGAAGCAAATCGTAACGAGAAATCATCAACACTGACTGAATTGAACACATCCATGAATTCATTGTGGCATAACAGTAGAGAAGTGTCATTACGAAAGTCGAATGCTTGCACAGATATGAAGCCTCGTTGAAGACCTCATTTCACATTCATGCATGCAAGTTTCGTTCAACTGCAACTCCCCAAATACAACGATGATATCTTAACAAAATAATCAAGTTCAGCAAAGAGGTTTGTGGTTCGTTCAGCTACAGAGTTGGTTCGCCTCAATGAATTCAAGCACACCATTTAACAGTTGACTCAATTCTTTCTTGAGTACGTACAAGATTCGATGAAGAACAAAAAAATCAAACCGTACACACAAAATAGTAACAACTAACGAACGATAATACAAATACAAATCTGCGATCGTCTCCTCTACAATACAATTTGTGATCATTCAATACTATCAGAGCTTCTAACCAATTCGAAACACATCAACGCAATGCCCAAAAATACCAGTACATCATTCATCTGTGGCTATACTTTTACTATATTCTGAGAATGAAAACTGTTTCAAACGTCCGACGTGAAAAAGTTTTCAACTGGAGAATTCACAGTGAATGAGACCCTTCAACGAAGCAATTTTACAATATCAACCCGTGAATGAATCTACTGCTGCTGTATAAGTACTGGTACCCTCAGACATTGTTGGTAATGAGCACAGAATCAGTTCAGCCATTAATTGCATTACTTCAACATTCAGTTGAATATCACTCAATATTGAATAGAACCACATTGAACACTGAAACACTGGAAATTCCACGAAAATATAGACTCTAAACGGAAGAAGGAATCGATCAGGATCAAAAAGATACATTTTCAGATGGAACGAAACTCTTCAATCTCATTTCAAAAGAGTTCGGTGTTCTTCGCACCGAAACAGCAAAACTGTCGGACAAAAGGGGAATGCCACCGGTAAAAAACGTTGCATTTTTGGGTACCAACAATAAGAATTTTTTGAGAATTCCTGGCTTAAGAAATATTCCAGTTCTTTCTTCAATAACATTTCCTATATACGGAACAATAATCCACTTATTCCGAGACAAAACTCATTCAACAGAAAATACTAAATAAAACATTTCAACCAACTTAATAACAATTGACTCGCTACACAAATAAAAACGTTGTAACAACCCAATATACAATAAAACTTATTTGAATCGAACAAGAAAGGGATATTAATGAATTTTTTTCACGAGCACAAAAAACTAACTAAACAATAAGGATCAGGAGCAATCAAGACCAAGTGGCCATTCGCATTGCTAAATACAACACAAATCGATGGAATAACCAGCTAAACAACACAACTAACAGTATTATAATTTCTTCTAAATTAATCTTTCTTTAAAATTCATCCTTCTATTCTTCAGAATTTTTCCATATAAGACCATATTTCTATCTGTCAACCAACACAATGCTTAAGAAACTTTTTTTCGGTGATAAACCAGTCAAAAGTTCAACGCTAAACACCATTATGCACTCACTATATTTGTGATTCAAAGAGATTGCCAGCTCAAGCAGTAAACAACTAAATTCTCTTTGCAACAATCCAATATGCAAACAATATTGCCCTTCAAACAAGTGCAAATACTGACGCAGTCAAAATACTACAGAAAATATCTAAATTTAACATTCAATACAAATTCAACAAGTGGAAATGTTAAACGATTATTGTGCACAATCAAGCAATCAATCGTCCAGCAATACGAGTTCGATGTAGTGAATAAAAGTTAAATTGGTTTGTACAATAAAGTGGTAACATATTTTTTACGATATCGATGAGTGGCCGAAAGCACCATTACACCATCTTTGATTGATAACGCATACAAATGGTTCAGCATCACATGATTCGGTTCCGGTAAAACATTTGGATCGCATTGTAACGGGGTATCCTTGTTTAAAATCACCTGAAATTACTTGACACCACTGACCACTCCCAAGAACAAGCACACTCGAACCTCGCTCAATTCACCACAACCTCGCTTTGCAACCAATTCATGCTAGGTGGATATTTCAACGTACCAAAACATTAACAAACCCATAACCCTAACCTCTCCACATAACGAAATTCCCTACCGAATCAAGAAAATTAATTAATATATCATAAATGATAACTGTGAATGGAGGAACTGGGACCGTTAATAAATATATTATGAGATGATCGTTACCTGAAGAAGATGAGGAGGCAATACAGGAGGGTTTTGTGCCTTTTCGAAATCCCTTCTGTCCGGTGCTTCCTGCGTGAACTGTTTCAGTTTCTCCAGTTCGCGGTCATTCGGTGTATCGTGTGACGGTGGCTGTTGACCGGCCACACTCACCTTTCGCATCGCTTCGCCTGCATTTGACGAGGCCAAATCTCGGTCGAGCGCATCGAACACCTTCAATTGACAATTTACCATTATAAACATCGATATTTCCGTTTACAAACGTAAACATTATCGGATCAATGACTACCACATAAAGGTGTCATTCATCAAATTTCTCTCTCTTTCATATTTCAAAAAAANAAAAAAAGACACATCGTTTGAAAATTCATTTGCACTTTCTGCAATGAGAATTGTTCAGATTTATTCCCCTCATCACTGGCGCCACTATTATTACATTCCTATGATAAACTTCATTCAAAGCAACACACTAATAATAATGCTTTGCTATTCAGCAATTATCACGCCAGTCAACACGAACGAATACTTCATTCAGATGAACTAAACGCTGACTGACTTAAAGCTATCAAAAATGAATTTGTTGAATGAGAGCAGTGCAAAGAACGAACTGCAAAATCAGCCTCATCGATTGCAATCACATTATTTTGACTTCCGAATTTGTTGTCTGTTTTCGCAAGATTCTCATCTACCATCCACTTTCCATCCACTAAATATTTATATTCGTGCTTTCCTGAAATGAAATCAGATGAGACATCTCTAATGTCTACTTATGAACAACCAAACGAATATTAATTTCAATCACCAGCTTTTTTTTGCTCTTTTCTTCATTTCATATGCACAAGTGCGATTCAATTGGATACTGATAGTTTGAGAGCATCGGAAGTATAATTTTGATGCAGAAGTAAACGAGCTCGTCAACCTTGAGGAAGATTGATGATTGTCGTAAAATCGGATGTGGATTTGCAGAGAGGGATTTTCCGTTTCCAGCCATCCCACGAGCCTGATACATATACGGCTTTCGTTTGGCTACCACCATGCCATTTGAACACCACTGGATATTCGTTCGCTTCCGTAAATTGAATACTCGGCGTTGAACAAGAGCCATCGCTTTTCGCTATTTTCACCTGAAACTAACCGAATTTTGTCTCTCTTTTTCAAATTCAACATTTTTAACTTGTAATATTTTCGACTAGATTCTATCTCAAGCTGTAAAGCCACTAGCCTTTTCAGCCAGTTTCAAGCCGCGAAAAGGTGCACGAAGATTACTAAAGGAAGCCGTACTGCGATGTGAAACAAATGGTGATGCCGAAATAAGTACGCGAAGTGCACGATGTGCCTAGGCAGGAATGGAATCGGCTCTAAAAAAACCATCGAAGCGAAAAGCGACCGGAAGAAGAACAAGAGAAAGAAGAGTGTCGTGCCATCTGACAACTAAATGATGTCTCATTTCGGAACAAAATATTCATTTCGAATTCATCGATGCGATTTACGACCAGAATTTTCCTTCCTCTCAACACAACGAACGCCATACTTAACTTCTATCATCACCTATTTGATTCGAAAAAATTTGAACACTGATCAACAATTTCTAAACAATAAGTCATAAATAATACAATCGGTAAAATAAACAAATCGAAAATGAACCACAAAAATTTCTCTCTTATCAACGTCAATAACATAAACCAGCCAGCCACGGATGATTGAGTGGCCGAGACAGACCATAAAATTATCGTAAAGCAAAGAATATCGAAATCTCTTGAAGAGACTTTTGCGACAGATTACTTTTCGTATATTTATCTGAACTGCAGAAACACTAAAAACTTTCTAAAATCTAACTAATTCAGCTCTATGTGTCCATTTAATCAACTCAATAATAGTTAA